GGGCTCAGCACAGAAGCCAGAAGGGGGGAGCCCCCCAGGTGCCCTCGATGGAGGGATGGACAAACCAAAGGGGTGTGTCCATGCGACAGAACGTCATCCAGCCTGAGTGATCTAGGAGGGGAATTGTGGCGGCTGCTCCCGCACGGGTGAGCCTCAGAGGGCATGGTTACGAGCAGCCAGACACGGCGGGACCCACCAGCCTTCCCTGCGAGGTGCCTGGGACAGTTACATCCATGGAGACGCAAAGGGGGTGGTGGGCACCAGGGGCCAGGGGCAGGGAAACGAGGGCTTGGTGCATCTGGAGGGACGGCCAGACTCACGGACACGGGCCTCCAGCTGGACAGTCCTGGTGACGACACAGTGTCTTCTTCAACACTCCGCTTCATAAAGACAGACCCTGCTGATGGCGGTGGTCCAGTTTCGGTACTAATCTAGAGACACAGATGCGCTTTCTGTGTGCAGTTCTGTGAATTTTAATGCCTGTGGCCTTCTGTGTAGCTGCCAGCACAGTGAGGACCCTTCAGCCCAGAGCTGTCCCCACTGCGTTCCCATCGTACCCACACCACAGCCTCCCCTCGCCCATCCCTGCGCCCTGGCGACTGCCGCTGTGCTCCCCACCATGGTTGAATCATTAGAAGAACGTCCTGTAAATCTCGGAGTGGCTTCTTCCACTCAGCGTGACACCATGGAGATGCCTCTGAGTTTCCACAGGTATCACGCTTGTCCCGTCTTCCTGCTGCCGTTCCGTCTGCCTTTCCTCTCACTGAGGAACGTTTGGGTTGTTTAGGCTAATTAGTGATCTTCAGGAATTGAGCTGCTAATAAACACTCGTGGACAGGTTTGGTTTTTTTTAATGAACGTAAGTTTTCATTTAATATTGAAATTACTATTTCCCTCAAGAAGTTCTTGGCCAATATATTCATTACAAAAAAAAAAAAAAAGAGTTCCAGAAATATTGTTTGCCTTCTACCCTTCCAAGCAGGGAGTAGGGTTGCTGGGTCCTACGGGAAGTAAATGGTTAACTCTAGAAGAAGTTGCCAGGTTGCTTGACAGAGGCCTGTACCATTTTGCATTCTTACCAGCAGTGCAAGAGAGCCCGCGGCGCCGCACGCTCTTGCCGACACTTAGTATCGTCAGTATTGTAAATGTCACCCACGGTGACGTCTTCTTGCGGCTCTGAGCTGCGTTTCCCAGTGGCTGACGGTGCCAAGCAGCCTCTCATGTCCCCGTCGTGCCCCGGCCGCATCGACTCCGTGTCTGGGCTGTCACTCTGAACGGGGTTGTTTTTAACCGACGAGTTTTGAAAGCTCCTTCCGTAGCCTGGTTTCGGTGCTTTGTCAGATGTGTGTTTTGCGCATATTTTCTTCAGGCTGTAGCCTGACTTTTCATTCTCTTAACAGTGTCTTTTGCAAAACCAAAGCTTTTAAATTTTATGGGCCATTCCTTGGATGTCATGTCTAAGAACTATGCTTTCTTCTAAATTTGTGCAGTTTTACGTTGTTGATAAAGATCTATAGTCCGTTTTGAGTTCCTTTTTGGATAAGGTGCATCATTGGGTTGAGGTTCTTTTTTTTTTTTTTTTTAATATGGAGACATGGTTGTCCCAAAACCATTTTTTGAAAAGACTCCTGAACGGTCTTTGCGTCTTCACCTTCCTCAGAAACCAGCGGGTCACATTTGTTGAGCCGGTTTCTGGACACAGGGCTCGCCGATCCGTGTCTGTCCCTCATCCAACACCACACTCCCTTCGTTACGTGCACTATATAGAAACCTGGAAATCAAGGGGTGTCCTCGAGCTTTATTCTTCTTTTCCACAATCGCTGGGCCATTTTGGTCCCTTGGCATTTCTGTTACAGTCTCAGAAACAGCTTGTCTGTATCTCAACAAAACCCCGCTGGGACTTTGGAAGGGCCTCCAGGACGTCCGGCTGTCTGGGGAGAGTGGACACTTTTGCCGCGCTGAGCCTTGCCGTCCACAAACACGGACGTCTGCCTGCCGGCTCAGGTCTCTGCTCTCTTCCCCAGCATCTCCTGGCGTTTACCGTAGAGACCCCATCTGTGTTTCCTACATTTATACTAACAGTTTCTTTCTCTGATGCTGTTGTGCACGGCACTGTTCTCAGATTTTGCTGTTTTATCTGACTCTTCATTATGCAATGTGTAGAAATGTGGTTGGTTACATGTCATTTTACTGCCAGGGCACGACAGATAGAATGACGCAGTTGGAATCGGGGGACGTCCTCGGATCCCCCACGCGGCCGTCAGTTTGCAACCAGGCGTCCAGGTCAAGTCCATGCTCGGGGGGGTGGGGCTTCGCCATGCGTGTGACGGAAGAAGCGTGGTTCCAGCCGGACGCCTGTGTGAGCTCTGTATTAGAGGTGCTCTGCGCGCCAGCACGTCAGTCCAACACACGGTTCACGTGTGCCGCGTGCTCAGTTCCGTGCCACGGGTTCCGAATAAGCACACCCACCACCCTTTCCGTGAGCAGTGCTGACCCCCGATGCTGTGCTCCCAGAGCCCAAATGCAGTTTGTCAGCTTCATGCCTCCTTTAAATTATGCTTCCCTCAGAAGATTGGCGACCAATATCTTCATCGCAAAAAACCACAAAATACATAATTTGTCTTGCAGCATCAGAGCAGGCGTGCGTAAGTCACGTGAGAAGTGTTATCACCTGTGTAACACCTCCGTGTCTAGCTCACAACACGAGCACGTCTGAATTGTCCGAGAGCCGCGCCACAGGACTTTCCAGTCACGTCTGTGAAAACCTCTGTGTAAAGTTTGAGGCGTTTCTCCAGTTTAACCACAGGCATGTCCGTTACGGGTGTGAGATGCGTCCGTGACCCAATATCCAGTCCTGGGCACGCGGGAGAACAACGTACGAACACGGGAGAAGAGCGGGGTGCGCGGGGCAGCCCGCCGACTGCCTCAGTCCAGGCCGTTAGGACGGGATCTTGTAAATGACCACCTGCAGGACGAGTGAGACACTGAAAAGATATTTGTCTTAAAGTAACTAATTTAAATCATTTCCTGGCTCATCTGTTTTGCTTTTTAATTCTTGACTTCATGCTCACTCGTTCCTTGGAGGGAGCATACGAGGTTGGCGCGCGCGTTGAGTGTGACCAGCTGGTGAGGCCAGACGCTGGAGACGGGCTGCTGGACGAGGTGGGCAGGGACTGGGTCCCTGGGGTCCCTGTGGCATCAGCGGAGAGCGGGTGGAACAGGAAGGCCAGGAGTTTCAGCAGTAACAGAACCCCTCCGGCTCGCTCCCTGCTGTGCCCACACCTCCAGGCCAGTGCCCCCCGGCTCCCTGGGCCTCCCCTGCAGGTGCTGGGGCAGACCTGAGCGGCCGGGCTCCCGGCGGGCCGCTGGCACTGCACACTCAGGCTGCTCATGGGCGAGCGGTGTGGGAGGCTAATGACACCCCAGGCCTGCAGGGGGCTGGAGCCGGCTCCTCACAGGAGGAGGGCAGAGCGACCAGGGCAGAGGGCGGAGGAAGGAGTGCCGGCGCGGGGGCTGGGCCGAGAGCGCGCACGGCCCTCCCCAGAGGCAGGGAGCAGGATCCCCATGGCGCAGAGGCCGGCCGCGCGTGGGGAACGTGTCCACAGCACAGCGAGGTGGCCGCGCCGTCAGAGCAAAGACCCGCACTCAGGAAGCAGCACACACACCGCGTGGCTGGGAGTCGGGTGGGCTCGCAGCGGTCCTCCGGCCAGAGAAAACATGCTCTGTTTGGTAAAGCCAAAGCGGGGGGTGGTCGGGAGTGCAGCGGGGAGAGGACCACCGGGTTTGCAGACGCGTCCTGGCCGGAAAGGGAACAAACAGAGGAAGAGCTCACCAGCTTCTGTTTTAGCGACAGTCCTGGGAAGGGGCGGATGCAAGTGGAGCACTGGAGAGAGACAAGACATGTTCCTGGAGGCAAGGGTGACCACGGAGTTGCAGACCTGGGGGTCTGAGGCAAGAAAACAGACATCTGGGGTCAGCCGGCATGTCCCCAACAGTGGGTGCTGGGTGCATGCACCCGTCCCTCCATCCACAGCCCAGCCTGGGTACAACAGTCACTGGTTAGGTGAGGCCCACCGAAGGCCTCAAATGCTGGAGGCGGTAGACTCCTTAGAGGCAAACTGTCTCTTGAAGAAGGGCTTGGCCTCACACAGGCTGCACAAAGCTGAGGAGGGAAGGGAGGATCTGCAGGGACCTCAGCCCATGTAATGAAACGCCCCTGGTCCTCTGATGCCAGACCAGCCCCAGAGAAGCTCCCATGGCCCTCATTTCCCTCACGTTCTCCCCCATGCATGTTACTGGGCGAGCAGGAGGGAAGCCCCAGGATCAGTTCCGCAAGCTCGCGTCCCTGAGCGCTTGGTGTACGGGCCACGCTCAGCCCAGGGTGCAGGGGCGCGTGGGGGCTGGTACGCCGTGGGCCTCGCTCCTTCCACCACGTTCTGTGTCATCTCTGCAGCACTTCCGGAGCTGGGAAGGGCTGGGCACTGCGGCCCACAGCCTTCCCTCGGCTCAAGATGAGGAAGCGGTCGTCCCAACCTGGGCGGGTGCCAGTGCTGTGACCTAGGGCGCTGATTTTGAGAAACGGAGGCCAGTTCGCGTGATGCACCCCCTTCAGAGCTCATGGTGGGGGGTTTTGCCATTAATCCCCGCGTGTTCTCCTTTATCCACAGCAGAAGCTCAGGGAAGTGATAGCTTTCTCATAGCACTCACTCACCCCGCGCCCGTCTTCAGTGGACTCACGGAGACATCCCATTCCCTTCCCTGTGCCGTGACTCTGGGGGACCCAGTGCCGGGTCCGTGGTGGAGACACCCCTGGTACAGTCAGAGAGTCTGCTGTTCCCCTGGGGGCCCCAGGAGCATCCCGAGTCATGGCAGCCACATCCCAGCACAAGGTCCCGACCCTAAAGAAACCAGGTGCATTTCCAGGAGAGGAGAGAGGCCTCCCAGGGAGGCCAGAGCGGAGGGTGGGACCTGACCCGAGCTCCCCACGCCCTCTCTTTCAGGATGGACATCACGCGGCGAGAACTGCCCACTACGGCTCCCTGCCCCAGAAGCCGCAGCACGGCCGGCCCCAAGATGAGAACCCTGTAGTGCACTTCTTCAAGAACATTGTAAGTGCTCCCATCCAACTGTGAGCGGCAGGCGGCGGGGAGAATCAAGCCTGGGGGGCAGCAGGTGCCCAGTCACGGCCTCATCCATGGGGGACCGGAGTCTATCTCTACATGACCCTGAATTCAATCCACAGGGGACCAGAGTCTATCCCCACATGACCCTGACTCTAATCATGAAGGGACCTAAGTACATCCCAGATGATCCTGAGCTCTAATCCTGGGGCATCTAAGTATATCCCCAGATGACCTTGAGCTCTAAGCATGCAGGGACCTGAGAGTATATCCCCAGATGACCCTGACTCTAATCCACAGGGTACCCGAGTCTATCCCCAGATGATCCTGAGTTCTAATAGTAAAGGGACCTGAGTATATCCCAAATGACCCTGGGCTCTAATCCATGGGCACCTAAGTATATCCCCAGATAACCTTGAGCTCTAATACATGGGATACCTAAGTATATCCCAGATGACCTTGAGCTCTAAGAATGCAGGGACCTGAGTATGTCCCCAGATGACCCTGACTCTAATCCACAGGGTACCTGAGTCTATCCCCAGATGATCCTGAGCTCTAATCATAAAGGGACCTGAGTATATCCCAAATGACCCTGGGCTCTAATCCATGGGCACCAAAGTATATCCCCAGATGACCTTGAGCTCTAATCCATGGGGGCCTAAGTCTATCCCCAGAGGACACTGAGCTCTAATTCACAATAGACCGGAGTATATCCAGGTGACCCTGCACTCCAATCCATGGGGGACTGAGTCTATCCCCAGATGACCCTGAGCTCTAATCCATGGAATTAGAGTATATCCCCAAATGACTCTGAACTATAATCTATGAGGGGCCCAAGTATATCCCTAGATTACCCTAAACTCTAATCCACAATAGACCTGAGTCTATCCCCAGATGTCCCCGAGCTCTAATCCATGAGGGCCCGAGTCTGTTCCCACAAGGAATGTGAGTATATTCCCCATGATGCCTCCTCCTCCTCAGGGTGAGGTTGGCCATGGGAGCTCAGCCCTAGAACCTGGTCACAAGGTCTGGACTCCATCTGCCACTTACTGAATTTTGTGTTCTAGTGAAGAACTCACTCCTTTTGAGACTAAAGTACTATGAGACACGCACTTTAAAAACGCAGGCTTGGCAAAACTCTGGAGACAGAAAGATTAACAAGATGTGAAGAGGAGCGGTTGTCAGGGTTTGTGGACAGGGAGGTGGACGGGGGAGCACAGATGGGGCAGTGGACCTACTGTGTGTGATACGGCTGTGGCAGACACCTGACCTCACGCACGGGAGCAAACCCACTGAACGAACACCCTCGCTGTGCACTCTGACTCGCTTAATGGAAGTGCGTCCGCCGTGGTTCCTGCTTGTAATGCACGAACCGCACGCGTGCAAGGTGGTAACAGACGGGGACAGTGTGCAGGACAAGAGGGCAGCCGTGGCAACGCTCTGATTTCTGTGCATTCTTTCTAGAAACCTAAGACTGCTCTCAAAAATAAAGACTGAAAAACAAAATCAAAACCACACGCTTCCAATCCTAAACGTTTTGTGCCACAGACATTTTAAGAGGGTGTTTTGCACGTTGACAAGTGGGTGTTTGACAAGTGAGCCCCAGGCCCAAGAACACTCCTGAGTACGGGCAACGCTTTTCCTCCAACCCCAAGAAAGGACCTTAGCAAAGGGAGGGTCACCGTCACCCCCGGGGGCAGCACGCGCGTGCGGGTACCTCAGCGGGATGGACCGGTCCTGCTCACAGAGCCTCCTGCCCTCGTCTGAACACTTTCTGAGTGTTCTGCAAACTGCCTGGCCTTGGCGTCCCAGGTCCTACAGTCTCCGTGAACGAGGACAGAACAGGGAGGCGGGCTGGGAGGGATGACTGTCGGGGCCCCCGGTCTCCGGGCCACCCCGGGCTGGTCGAGAGCTGGCAGGTGAGGGCAGGAGGCTCCGTGGGGGAGGGAAGTGCCCGCCCCCGCTCACTGGCCTCTGTGTATCTTTGTAGGTGACACCACGCACACCTCCTCCGTCACAAGGAAAGGTAAGACCTTGGAACACGGTCCTTAATTGTCACTCGGCCTGGAGACCTTCCCTGAAATCCCTAAATGTACCAAAAAGAGGCCGGGCCTCACGGCTGCCTGACTTCCCCGAGTAGCACAGGCTGCGGAAAACCGAGCGGAGAGTGGGGCCAACTCCCAGCTCGCTCTCCCCTCTCCGCCCTCGCCCCGAATCCGCCCTGAGCCGTCCCCGCCCCGGGACCCGGCGGGTGTCCGCACTGCTCGCGCTCAGCAGCATCCTGACCTGCTCGCTTCGTAAAAGACTTTCTCTCTCCCTGCCTCAATGACAATGTCACTGTCTCTCTCTCTCCCACAGGGGCGAGGACTGTCTCTCAGCAGATTTAGCTGGGTAGGTGACACGGCATGTCCGCGCGGCTCCCTCTCCCTTCTGCTCCTCACAGCTGCCTGGCATCTGCGTCCCACCCTGCGAGGCTCCCCTTCTTCCTCATCAGGCCCAGGGCCCACGCCATCGAGGACCACCTTCTCCTCCTGAGGGGAATCCAGGGCCCCCGCCGCCGACCCCGCAGCGGGGCACAGGTCTCTGCTTCCACGCCAGACCAGGTGGCTCCATGCCTGAGAAAGTTCTTGACCTCCTTCCAGCACAAGGGGGCGGATACTGGTTCCCATGGGGCAGGCCCAGGGAGGCCTGCGCCCGGCGGGCTGTCCAGACCCCAGCCCAGCCCCCAGGCTGACCCTTGGCGATGCCACCCCCTGTCACATGGTCTCATGAAGCCATGAGACCAGGCGTAGCAATAACCACAGTGTAGCTCTCAGCATCCAGGAACGTCGTCTGAGGAACACCGGGAACCAAGTGCCCACCACGATTTTAAAGGCCGGCCGGCTTACTTTCTAGACACCGGTGACCTGCGGTGGTGTCTAAGCCGGCTGAAAACGCCTATCGCGTGTGCTAACCAAACCTGTAGACGTTGGTTAGGAGTAAATGCCAGATGCGGCTCTTACTTGGCTCAGGCTGCCGTTTGCGGGATAAAATGGAAGAACAACCACGACCTATAGGCCAGGACCTCATGTGCGCTGGACACCCAGCCCGAGTCCCTAGTGCAAGACGGGCACATCCGTGGGGCTCAGTTAATGGGCATCACACACACGGATGAACAAAGTTTGAAAGAAAGAGAAAGGAGGGAAGCGAGAACAGTGGGGGGTGCGCAGGATGGGGAGGCCCGCCGAGCACGTTAGGGGGTTCCGTAAGGCTCATGCATGGCCCCAGCATGTTCTTACATGGAATTTGCTGGAACGCTTTATGCACATGTATTTGAGCCTTTTCTGAACGATGTGAACGACTTTGCAAAAAGGGGCGGAGCGTGTAGGCAGCCGGTGGGCTGGGCCTTGCCGTGACGGACGTCTGACCATCTGTGCCAGTAGGAGACCAAGAGGAACTGTGGAAGGAGCTCTTGTTTTGGTGACCCCCTGGTCTGCCTCCTGACTTTCTAGGCCTGGACGCTTGGGCAGGATGTGGAGTCAGCCGTCCTGGAGAAAGTGTGGGGGCCAGGGAGGAGGCCCTTCCCCCCTCAGGGCACTCGGAACCCGCTTCACCCAGCAGCTAACCGGAAAGACCTTTGCTCCCCTCTGCGTCCCGTTTTGGAGCCTACTAATCTTTATTCAGTTTCTCTTTTTTCCAAAGCAAATCCAGCTCATTCATCTGCTCGTGGGTCCATTTTCTCGAGCTACAGGACGGCCTTCCTGCTTGGAGGGTGTGGAAGTCGCCCGTGCTTCTTCTAAACTATATCAAACATTTCTTGGTAAATTCCAGGTTGTCTAAAGATAGAAGCAACCAAGAATTGGAAAGGACGAAAAGTCAAGCAGATCATTTAATCTGGAAACCCACCCTTGAGTTTTGTTCTCAGAAGTTCCTAGTTGGAGAAAAGCAAGCGAGACAGAGAATGTGACACGGGTGTGTGAGGCGTGGTTTCCTGCCGCGTCGTGTGTCTGCATGTGGCACCTGCATGCTTGGCCGTGGCCTGTCCCTCCGTGGGACGTCCCGGAGTGAGCGCGTCCACAGGAACCTCTGGACCCCAGGGCAGCCCGCCCTCCACTTGCCTCCACCACCTTTAGGATACGGGGGACCCGCACGGATCCCCGTTCCCTCCAGCCCGGACCCGTCTGCATGCTGCAGGGACCCTCGGCGAGGCAGAGGGATCCGGGGCGCCACCAGGTTTATTTCGTTGACTAGATTGTCAGGCGCAGACCCGAGCGATCCCCCGTGTCCTGCCGAAGAACCTGAACTCCCAGAGCCTGTCTGTGAAGACAGAGCCGTGGGGCAGGCAGCAACCTTATCTGAGAACCCCCAGCCTGCTTGGCACCCGCGTGACATGGTGCACGAGCCTGGGGATCCCCATTCTGCGAACACTAACCTCCCTGTGTCAGCACCTCCCAAGCCCCCCAACTCCTTTCTTGTGTCCGTGGGGGAAGATCCCATTTGAAAGTAAAATAGCTCTGAAAGTAGACGAGTCTGGGATGCGGACATCCTGACATGTCAGCAATCACTAGCCCTGCTCTGTGCCACGCGGGGAATTTCTTCCTTCCCCGAGCGCACGGGGGCTGCTGGCACCGGGAGGCCGGGCACGGCCTCTCCCGAAACAACGGCGAGCACGTGCCCGAGCTTACAGGCTCTGTTGGCAGGGCAGCACATCCGTAACCTTGCAGAACCCTCCCAGTCACCCCTAACCCCATTTTATAGATGAGGAAACTGAGGCTCAGGGTGGCTTTCACACTTGCCCGAGGTCGCACGGCGAGGGAGTGGAGAGCCAGGGCTTCATCCAGGCTGCGGGGTGCCTGCGGCTGTGCCCTGGTGTACGGTGGCAGGGACACGGCTTGCTGGCCGGAACTGCCCCCTTCCCTCCTTCACGACCGTACCAGATCCCGGTCCCCCAAGGGGGTGCACACATCCGCTCTCAGGGCACCGAAGCCATGGCCCGGGGAGCTGGTGCCGGGTCATCCTGGGGAGAGCTCATCTGGGCCAGAGAATCTGAAGCTTCTCCTTCCGCTTTAGAAAAGTAAATTGTGCTAAGGCCGAGGCTCCGGACCCTGCAGACCGCTGCAGGAGGAGCCGGACATGACGAGCTCACCCGGAGAAGCAGGCAGGGCCCCCCAGCTCTGGCGCCTGGCCTCCCGCTGCTTCAGGCCCAGGAAAGTGCCCCCTGGGGCCGAGAGCTGGCCGGGTGCGCCCTTCCTGCGGGCAGGGGAGCCAAGGCCGTTCACCGGGGTTAGCTCGACCTTGCCGCTCTTGAGAGCCACACGGTGGAGCGGTCCGGCTCCGATCTTTCTCTGAGAGCGTTTGGGCGCCCATCTCCCAACGCGCGGCAGCCGGGGCTGGGCCGACGTGGCAGCACGGAGCGGCCCTGGGCCTCGACTGAGCGGGCCCGTCCCCGCCCCGCAGCCCGTCCCCCGCACGGCCGCCCTGAGGGCTCTCTGGTCTCTTGCAGGGAGGCGAGGGGCAGAAGCCAGGATTTGGCTACGGACGCCGAGCTCCAGCTCACAAGGGGCTCAAGGGGGCCCATGACGCCCAGGGCACGCTCTCCAAAATCTTCAAGCTGGTAACGTAACCCTTGTGACCCTTCTGATGGTCAGGGGTGCGCGGCGGGTGGACGAGGGGCGGGACCAGGGGCGGGGCGGGGGTGGGCGGGGGGTGGGGCAGAGGCGGGGCCCAGACCTTACCCACTGTTCCTCTGCGGTTCACCTGCTAGGCTGGCCCAGGGACCAGGACGTGACTGCAGGGGTGGCCCAGGCTCCCTTGGGGACCTCGAGGATACATGAGGGGTCCCACGCGAGGCTCCACCACGCCCTGCGGAAGCAGGGGTGGCTGTGGGCGCTGACCTTGTCTGGAAGCCCTTGGTGCCGAGGCCTCAGATCTGTGACCCCCGAGAAAGGGAGCAGGAGCCGAGGGGCCGGGGGAGGTCAGTGATCAGGCGGCCAGAGGTCCCGGGAACCCACGGGGGCTGCCTGATATGGACGCTGTGGTCACTGGCCCCGGGGCCATGGTCAGGTGTGAGCTTGGCAGGGCCCGGGCACCTGGACGGGGCGTGAGAAGGCAGCGTGAGGACGGCAGGTGGGGTGGGCCCTCTGGCTTCTGGCTGGACTCGGACAGTCCTGAAGTGCAGCAGAGCCTCAGAGAGCCCCACAGCCGCCCATCTCGGCTCTGGTCGAGCCCAAGGTTGGCTTTGCGGTATGCGGAGGGGCCCACTGGCCTCCGTTCATTCCTGTACACTCGCAGGCCAGGGAGCCCACAGGGATCCCAGGCCTCCCCCCCAGCTCCGGCGTAGGGCCTGCGGGACGCCATCCTCAGGGGCTGTAACTGCCTGGACCCCGGATGCCCGACAGCCTCGGGCACGGGGCCGCCCACAAGCAGCCGCCGTCCCCGGGGGCAGAGGCCTCAGATGGTCATAGGGGCACGTTGGGTAGCTGAGAGCCCAGGCTGGCGGTGCTCACGGTCAGGGCCCTGTGGCTGCCCCTGCGCCCTGTCCGTCTGCGGTCAGGCTCACTCCGCGGACGGGTGCTTGCCGTGCCTCACCGCGTGCTCTTTGGCGGGGGGGGGCATGTAGAGAGCATGTTCTCGTGGTGGGGGACAGAACGTGGTTGGAATGAGTGCCCCGGGACAAGGCAGGGTCCCCTGGATGGCTGCCCACAGTGCTGGGGAGGGGCCAGATAAGGCCTCGTGGGCCAGGGTCGAGGAACCGGTCACACAGCTGGGGGCAAGCCCAGACTGGAGGAAGCAGAGGCCCCGGAGGAGACAGGTCAGACAGGGAAGGGGTCCCCCACACAGAAGGCCCTGGGACCCCCAGAGGGCTGCATCACTCGGGTCCCCTGACGCCTGACAACATGGTGTTCACGCTGAAAGGCTAGCCGTGAGTCGCTGGCAGAGACCAGCCTAGGTGGGGCTGGGGTTTCTGCAGCCCTCATATGGGGTCTTGGCGGTGGACCCGAGGTCCTTGCAAGAGCCCACACCTCGGGGTCACAGCTGGCAGGGGCCAGGGTTGCTCCACGCCCCATGGGGACACATTGCACCTTCCGACAGCCCAGGACAGTCTCCAGGCTGACTTGAGGCACGAGGGAGTGCCGTGCATCACTGGACGGGGCGCCCACAGGCGGACTGCCACGGGCACCGCTGTCTGAGTCACGTTCCCACATACTTCCTCGTTAGAGTAACGACCGAGTGGCTGTTTCCCCTTCCCGTGAATCCACACGAGGCCGCAGGCTTCCGTGCCTCGTGGCCAGAGAGCCAGTACCTAACAACAACCACGGTTCCCTGCAAGGTGCCCAGGACCGGCTCCCTCTCCGCCCTCAAGAAGCGCCATCGGGAGACAGACGCCAGCACGTACAGGGCAGGGTTCCTGTGTTAGGGCAGGAAAGGCATCAGCGAAGGCATAAGGCCCCAGGGTGCCCACAGCCCCCTGTCCGGAGAAGGTAACTCATGAGGAATTGCCTGTTTGTCCTTCCTGGGGGAGGGTTTGACATCGCTGCAGGCGGAGAAAGACGAGACACCCCAGTAGGAGGGGATGTTAGCGTGGGCACAGCCGCACACCCTGTCCGCCGGCTGGTGTCCCAGCCCCGCAGATAGACACGTCGTGGATTCTTACCGCCCCTTTGAAAGCTTCATCACCACTTGTCTTCAGGCCGGCGGGCACATCCTGGGGGAGCTGTGCGTTTCCATGGAAATTGCACGTCTAGGGGTTCTGGGTTACAGATGAGAACAGGAGCATCCCCTCGGCTCCCCCTGTCCTCAGACCACCCGCTGGGGTCACAGTAGACAACCTGATTTAACCCTAAAAGGCTCTGCTGTGTGCAGCTTGGTGGTATCATGCTGGAGATCCGGCCGCCGGAAGGCAGGACCTGTGCCTTCCGCAGGCTTCTGGTCTCCCCCAGTTCGGGCTCAGCCTCAGGCAGCCACGCACGAGGCCCCTCAGCCCCAGTCACCCTTGACAGGAGATCTCTAATCTGCATGAGGGCGCTTTCTAATCAGCCCCCTAACACATCACGGTCTTACCATTTATGGTGGAATAGTTGGGTCTGTGACCCCAGTAATCATGGGGTCATGTGTGCTGATCTTGCCCCGCCTATGCGAGAAGCTTGTGGGTTGAGCGGAGCAGCCGCGTCCCTGTCCAGCATGTTCATCGTGGGCGACAGACACAGGCCTGTGAGGTCCATTCGTTTTCACTCGGTTCCGTGTTTTCCTACATGTCTGTTTGTACAAAGTAGTTTAGAAATTGTAAAGCTTCCGTGGGGTTCAAGGGAAGCTTCAGTTTATCAAATTCAGTGACTGTGGCTTTCATGAGATTTTACTACACGAATGTCTACGAACTGGCCAGCCGCGGTCGCAGGGCTGAGTGAGCCCACGCGCGTGGTATCGTCGATTGAAAACTCCCTCCAGAGGCGAGAAGGGCTCCAAGGCAGTGAGTGTGGACGGAGGTTCCCCAGTACTCAAGGGGGTGCCCTTGCCACAGATGGTCCACCCCGTGGGCTGGGAACTGCTTGGAAACCCTGCATTTCTCTGAATCATTAGGGAACTGCATCAAAATATTACCAGTTTCTTCTTTGCAAATGCACAGCTGAGAGTTTCCCACACAGGGGTAGGGAAGGCAGGGATGGAACGCACGGCCTTCCCGCGGGTCCCCTTCCTTCCTACTCCAGACGCGGCCTCAGGCCGACCTCCTGCTCGTGGTCCAGCCCGTCCACTCAGCTGAGCCCGGGGCCAACCCGCTGCTGGCATCGACCTGCTCGAATGTGCGGAGAACCTGGCAGGGAGGAGAGCATGAGACCCGCCCAGCAGGGCTGCTGGGTGGAACCTTGACTCCGCCGCTGGCCGCGTGGCCATGGGGCATCACTCAATGGGGCTGTGCTCTGGCTCCTTGGACTGGAAAACAGAGACAATAAGCACCCCGCCTCCCGGGCTGGCGTCTCCTTCCACCATGGTGGGGACTTGCTAGGAGCAGGCACAGTCATAGAAATAACACCGGATGCCCACCATTGTCCTGCGCTCAGGCGGAGCCCCGGGAGGTGAAATGCTGTCTCACGGGACTGTACTGCACAGGATGGCGGGTGGACGCCCTCTGTTCTAGGAAGCAGGGGGTCCGCCCCTTTTCAGAATGAGACTGCACTTGCCAGGGAGCCGCGCAGATGAATTTTGGGGGGCTCAGAAAGCGGGGAGGCTCGTGCAGACTTGCGCTGGGCTCCCCCGGAGGGCAGCACTGAGGGCCGGCTTGTGGAAAGCCAGCCGGGCCGTCGGCCCCGCCGCTCCTGGGGGCTCGCCAGGTACTCCAGGGGCTGGAGTCCCGTAAATGTTCTCACCGAGGAAACTAACACCCCACAAAGCAGTTGTTGAACAATGTAAAGGGTCTTCTGGAAACCCGACAGATCCGAGCTGTGGTCTCCCTCTGTGCACGGGCACAGGAGGGGGCGTCGCCGGCACCAGGCTTCTGACGCCCAGCTCACTGCACAGGGTGGCGGCCACGCTGCGACTGGGGTGCTGTCCAGGGCACAGGTGGCATGTGGTGACGTGTGCTTTCACAGGTACCTTGCTTCCGGGGGCCTCTTGGTCTCGGCCCCCCATACGTGACGTGGGTGCTGGCTTTCTGGGTCCTGGGCAGGCAGCCCGGGAGCTTCTCCGAGGGTCCCGACACACCGGGCGAGTTCGCGCTCAGAGTGCTGGGACACGTGCAACCAGAGCCCCAGCCTCAGAGCCAGGCGAGATGGTCCGCGAGTGGGGTTCCCGCTGTGGGATCCTGGCGTGGGAGCGGAGGCCCTGGCCCCACGCACGTCATCTAATTGTGTGTTTCCTCTTCTCAGGGAGGAAGAGACAGTCGTTCCGGATCCCCCATGGCGAGACGCTGAAGCCCTCCCCTGGGGTCCCCGAATCCTGTCCTCAGCTTCTTAATACAACTACCTTACGAATTTAATACCGTCCACATCCGCTCCCCACGTGTAGCAAACACCCTGCCTAATGCCCGTTGAGCTGCGCACACGGTGGGCCAGGCACTCCGCGCCCTGCGGTTCTGGCCATCAGCCGAGCGGAGGAGACGCAGACAGACGGTCAGCGGTGACTTTGTGTCCGAAGAGAGCGCGTGCCCGGAGCCCCCTCCGCCCAGCGTGGCCTGGACGCTGGCGGCGCCGGGGCACGGACGCACCTCCGAGCTCACCCTCCTCCCTCGGACTGGCTTTGCTGACTCAGCTTCCCCAGGCTTCGCAGGTGCTGCCGTGCGACGCCACTGTGGACACAGGGATGCGTGCGGGGCGGTGAGGACTGCTGATCCGAGCTTCCTTTGTTTCCTTTGGTTTCTCTCCCCGCCCCCGGCTCACCTCCTAACACACACTCACTCTCCCTCCAGGATGAGCAGTCAGGAGCGGCACAGGGGCTTTCAGTACGTGCAGTGCGGGCGGGTAGCTGGGAGAGTCCCATGTGGTGGGCGCGGAGGGCGCCCGTAGGCGGCGGCTCCCCACCACACCCGGTTGGCGGGTCTCAGGCGCGGTTGCGAGGGGACAAGGAGGCAGAGCTGGGCTGGGCCACGGCCCCAACGGGAAACAGGATCTTCTTGGAAATTAGGTGATGGCACGGCGGGAGCCAGAGCGGCTTCTACGAACAGCCTGTTTCCCCCCGAGCCCAGCAGGAGAGTCCAGGGAGACGCTTGTCTCAGAGTGGGACTGGAGAAGTTTTCCGGGTGGCCTTGTGGCGTCACCCTGGTCACTGTGGGAGGTGACCGGCGGTGCTCCTCACGGCAGTGCGCACGGCAGATACTAACCCTCGGTGGACAGATAACCTCCGTCAGCTGGCATCCCGACACGGACGCGCGTGGCCACGGGCTTCGGAGGGCCCGCGTCCCAAGTGGCGGGGCCGGACGTCGTGGGGCCCGGGCCTGGCTGGCCCTGCGAGCAGAGACGGGGGCTCCTCTAAATTGTGTCTTTTCTAACTCGAGCTCACCTTTCCTGTGCTCCCCTCATAACACACTGACCCACCGTTTGATTTTAGCTACGTCTTAGAGGCCTTCCAAGGAGCCACACCGGCGTCATCCTCCCTTAGAACGAAGATGAGGAGTAGTCAGCACACCAACGTAACCCCGTCCTAATTCCGATGCCCGGTGTGGGCGTAATGTAATGTCTATTAACCCATAGCCTCAGTGATGAGAGGGTTACGGGGGAACAAGGAACAAAATTTCAGAAATGAAACCTCCACATTTCATGACACACACACACACACGCTCTACGTCTTCGAGCTGACTGTCGGCCGAGGGATCTTTGTGTGCGGCCACCCCAGACAGCGAGCACGGTGATGGTGGGGGCCTCGTGGAAACGACACACCGTCGGTCGATATCGAAATAAAATAATAAACTTTTAATGATCCTTGTGTGGTGTCTTCTTTTATCTTTGTTCTGGTCTGCAGAACGCGGGCTCCAGCGACACGAAGATGAGAGGTCGCATCTCAGGGGTGACACGGGTGTGGGCTGTGCCGTCGGGGACGGGGCGCGGGCTGGTGCCCAGTGGCTTTTGCATCAATAAGGGAGAGTGGACTAGAGGCCACAGTGAGGGCCCTGATTGGCTATGTCACCAGGAAAAGATTTTTCATTTTGTTCTTACACAATCTTTTAAAGCGTATTTGCATTACATTGTCTTCACCAGAGGAAACACCTGTTCACGTGAGCTAAAGAAACTCGGGGAAACTACTCTATGCCACGCAAAGCCACGGACAGCATGAGGGATTTGGGAAATTCTGTGTTGTTGTTTTGGGTGACAACAATTTTGTTTCAAAAAAGAGAAGCCAAAATCTTTGTTTTCTCTTGCTTTTAACAAGTCCTGGTTCCCTTCTGTCTCTGCAGCAGCAGGGAGGGAACTTCTGCACCTGTGAGCATAGTGGGGGCGGCCCCCATGCTGGGATGGTGGCGGGAGGACACGAGCCCACTGTCTGGAGCCCCCAGCCTGGGGAGCCGCCCTACTCGCCAGGCGCCAGCCCTTCCCTCTTCTGAGCCCCCAAATGCTTCGACCAAGAAATCAGGAAAATCATGCATAGAGAGTCATTTTTTTAAAGATTTTATTTATTTATCTACTTATCCGAGAGCAAGGGAGAGCACACGCAGGGGGAGCAGCAGACTCCCCACTGAGCAGGGAGCCCGATGTGGGGCTCAGTCCCAGGACCCCCATATCACAACCTGCGCTGAAGGCAGACGCTTCACCGTTGCAGCCACCCATGCGCCCCGAGAGTCACATTCTTACGATAGTGTTTTTGGAGTTGGCCGGTCTCTTCTAATGGTACATATACAGGACGCACCTTCAATGGTAAATCAAGGGTTAATCCTGCAGGGACACAGCGACTGGCACGACAACACTCAGAGACATATTTCAAAATAAAACAAGGCAGAACTGGAGCGGAACCTCGGGACGTGCACTCTCCCCGAGCGCTTTCCCACGAGGTGGGCACCAGGCTGAGCTCCACGAGGAGGGGCTTTGGGAGCCTCAGACACAAGCAGAGCCCAGAGGTGTCCCAGGGGCAAGAGAGGCGCAGGAGGGACTCCCCATCAGAACGGAGAGCCATGCCACTCAGTGTAGATCGGGACCGTGGGTCGCCACCGTCATCAGGCTGCCAGGCAGAAGGACCCTGCAGCTGGAGGTGCAGTGTGAGCCCCACCAACGCGGGGGGGGGGGAACGCCGCGGGCAGAGCAGACAGCTCAGGGGACAGAAGGTCTGCAGGGGGCACGGACCCGGGCTGGATTAGCGGGACATGGCGGGGATGCTACGTCAGGACACGGGGGTGCCACGGGACACGCTAGCCCAGGACATTGGGGTGCGGCTCCCTCTGGACTTGAGTTTGCGAGGAGACAGCACAGGGAGTGTGGGGACAGCTGTCTAGTGGGACGAAGGACAGGAGCTCGGGTGACTCGGGGAGGTGGTGCTGTCTGGGGCCTGGAAGGCTATGCAGGGGGCAAGGGGTTCTGAGTCAAGGCACACAGCTCCCCGCTGGGCTGGAGCCGGTCCGAGGCCTGGGCGCGTTTCCTCCACTGCTTCTGTGTCTTCACACGCCCTTTCCTCCGTGGGCCACACGCCGGGCGTCTCCTCCCGCGAGGGTCTCACTGCACAGCCTCCCGTGGAGCAGAATTGCTCCCCAGAGTCCTGCCTCGGAACTCAGTGCAGTGGGGACTAAGGGCCTCGGCGCAGGGGTGCACGGGGCGTGAGGGGCGCGGGGGATGCGGACGTCATGGGGGCTTGAGGGCGCAGGGGGCGTGAGGGGTGCGGGGGCGTGGGGGGCACCGGACACGCAGGGGATCAGAGGGCTCGGGGGGGCACGGGGGCACCGGGCGCAGGGCTTACAGGACCACAGCTGTGCGTGGCCTCACGCAGCAGCCCTACCTCCCCAGGCCACCCCACACCCCCTGGCCCGATGCTGGAATCACCCCAGGACCGGGCAGGCAGGCACCCCCTCCTCTTCCCCAGAGAGGTGCCAGCACATGTCCTACGAGGATTTCTCTGCCCTAAGTCATCACCGTGGTTCCCAGCAATGGGACACGGAGGCAGAGTTGGCCACGCGGAGTCTGTGAAGGCCGTGTCGCTCATGAGCCGTCAGCGCCCACCTCAGACACGGAACCGCTTCCCTCAAAGTGGCAGTAGAACCACAGGAGGCCGTCCATGCTCTGCTTCTGTGGGCTTCGCTCAGCAGGCCCTTCGCCAGCAGGACGAGAGCAGGACGAGTCCACTCATCCTGGCGGCGGCATGGGGGGCTCCCCAGCCTGTGCGGCTGCGTGAGGTTGGCTCCCGATGCGAACGGCTGGGTCAACACCGGAGAGTGCTTGGAAAACGGCGCATCCTGCGGCTGCGTCCTGCGCTGGCCGGGGGCTCCCATCCCCAGTCTGAGGCCAGCTTCTGACCTACGTCCATGAGGGCAGATCCACAGTAGAGCATAGACACGGGGACAGGACGCAGCTGGCCGTGGGTGCGCACGGCTGCCAAGGGAAGAGAGACGCCGGGCTGCTGGGGGGGATAAGGTGCCTCCGCCCACCCCAACCAGCCTGGGCCACACCCACCCCTCCTGGATCCGCATCTGCTTTCTGAAAAGGTACCTGGGGGGTCTGCCCCTTGAAGACCTGCCCCAGCCTCCAGAGGGGAGCCACCTGCACGCCCGCCTTACCGTGAATGTGGCAGGAGCAATTCAGAGGACGAGCGCCCTGGCCAGAGAGCTGACATGGATCACCCTTGTCTCCTTGAGAATGGGACGTGGCGAGCAGACCGCAGGGAGAGAAGCGAGTACTGGCTAGGGCAGAGCACAAAGCAGGGCCCAGAAGGCTCGTCAGTGGCCGTGGCTGTGGTCACGGGCATCTCTGCCCTTTGTTCTCGCCAGAAGGCCGGGGTGTTCAGGGCCCACATCAAGGACAGCAAACCCCAGGTGGGGCCGGAGTGGCCAGGGCAGCGGCGAGGGCCCCGACCAGCCACCTCAAGTGTGCCCTGCCCCCTCGGGTTCCCATTCTGTCCTCCTGAGGGGCAGCCGCACACCTGCCGTGTGGGTCTTAGCTTCCAGACGCTGCTGTCCACAGAAGGGAACCGAGCTCCTTGGGAAAAGGGCTGGCCCGGGCGAAGAGGCAGGAAGAGCACAGTCCACTATACCAGCGCGAGAACGCACTCCAGGAGCCACAGGGCCATGGCCAAAGGGCTCAGGCCCTGACTCAGGGGCCTCTCCTGGTTAGATCTGGGGATACTAGTGCATCAAGCGCGATCCTAACAGACGGCAGCCTGGGAAACCCAACAGGAACCCACGGGTCCGCACCGACAGGAACACAGGGCAAGTGAAGGAGGGCGAGCAGGAAGCCCTTCCTCACCGCGGAACCCTGGCAGGTGCGCCCCGCAGGGGCAGCGGCTGGACAGGTGGCCGCAGGCTTCCCAGTCTCACACAAACGCCTACTGCCTCGAGGGGAAATGTCTACACTGGGGAAAGCTGACATCTGGGCACCCGCACCCACAAACCCTGGCGGGAGAAGTGGGGGACTGCCTGCTGGAGGACTGGTGCGTGGCTTTCAGAAACGTCCCAGAACGGGTGCCACCGGCCTGAGAGCCAGTGCCGCCCCCACCCAGGACAGAGTCCGCCTGAACAAAGACATTACTGTCCACGCTTGGGGCCACGCCTGAACGGGGTCTCTGGTGCAGAGCACAAAAGGTCTCTTGTGTACTCTTCTTGCGACCTTTACGTACACTCACAGCTCCTTCAGAAGTACAGGGTTACACAGAAAGGATGAGGACTTGGGGTTATCCAACGTGAGGAAGATAATTCCAAAAGAATCGGGAAAGTGCGGAGTAGAGCGTCTTGGCGCAGATGGCCGTCGTCCCTCTTCACCCGGAACGAGGACGGAACTGGCTGACGTCAGAGCAAGATGAGCTGCTTTGTGCTAATTATAGGGATTTCCTCCCACACAGCTCAGTTACCAGGGCTACCGACGATGCCCTGAAGCAGTGCGGGAGGACCCGGAGCCACGGCATCGCGGAGACAGCCGTTTACCGGGGGAGAGCGTGAAGCGTGTGTGCGTGTGTGTGTGTGTGTGTGTGTGTGCACAAGCGTGTGGCTGCACACATTTCTCATTTCTCCCTTTTTCCTCAGGGACTAAAAAGCGTTGAGTCCCTAAAGGTCTACGTGACCGTAGAAGTTCGTCGGCATGAGGACAGTGCTACGGCCCGTGTGCGGTCCATTCGCCGCCTGCACCTGCCACAAAAATCCCCACCGGCACAGCAAGCCGAGCCACGGCAAGGCCTCCAGAGGGCACGGACCGCCGTGTCGCTGGCAGCCGCGGAGCCGGAGCTTCACCCCGACCTGAGGCCCCCGGGAAGTCCAGATCCGGGGCGCTGGCACGGGGTCCTGGGTCAGAGACAACAGGGACGGGCAGTCCCGCACGGGGATATTCCCGAGCCTGAGTCCCACGGGACACCCCGGGAGATGGATGCCCAAGGCACGGGGCCATTTGCAGCACAGGAGCTGGAGCGCAGGGACTCCGAGGCTTTTACAAAAGGCAGTGAGCTGACCTTGCCTCAGAGCGAGACGGGCTGTGATTACACTGGCCCCAGGGAACAGGCATCGCTCTGCTCTGGAGGGAGGAGCTCTGTCTCCCGAGGGCCTGTCCTGGACAAATGGCCTTGAGGAGATTCGGGATCGGAGGCAGACCGCACTCTGCTCTAAGTCGTGCAGACCCGAGACACATGGAGGGACGCCTCCCAGCGTTCCTGACGTTCCCGCTCGTATTACGAGTGGAATGAAGGGATTTAGTCGACTCATTTTACAGACAAGG